TGATTTCAACGAAATGTCCGCCAAATGACTACCACGGCTGCGTTTCCATATATCTGCACGTTTTCGCCAATTTTCGTTGACCTGGTTCAGCATTTCGACCGGAACTTCGGCTATAGTGCGCTGCACGTTGTGTTTGTGCTCGTCGAGTGTTGTTGGTTGATTGTCTTGAACCTTTACCGATTTAAGTTACGCCCAGAGAAATTAATCTAGAGGCGTTAAATGGCATGAACTTGGCGGGCATTTGACCAACCTATTTCGCGAAATTAACGCGTGAAACATGAAGCAGCGCACCGTCTTGTTGCAAGTAAAGATTTCATCAGATTCTGAGGAAAAAAGTCGACCAACATCGTGTTATAATAATGGCTATTGATCAATTTTTGGGGATGCAATTCCATTTCTTGAACCACAGAAAAATTTGATTCATCCCAATTACAATTAATTAAGCCTGAAATGGGCCTTATGTGAGAAGAGCGGGTTTTACGCTGAAAAAGTAACAGTAGCCTCCAGAGCACGTAAGTTTGCATAATAAACTTGAACAATTTCCAAGCTTTGTACCAAACAAACCTCACTGAACACACTGATAAAGTTTGACACAAATCCGTAAGCAAACATGCCAGCCACGAGCTGTCACAATCGCGTCATCCCTATTGGTAGGTGCTGTATGCATGTTTAACACTGTGTATGCTTGATGGAATTCATCATAAGCCTCGCGCTGACTTTTAGCGGTATCGGTGACCGACTCTCCAATGCATATTGTATAAGCTGCGGCAATACAATCGCACCATTGCAGCATTTTCAGGTCTCGCGTTTCCTTTTCATTATTCGACCTCTTTATGGCGAGCCAGTTAGCGTACCGACAAGCAGGTCGCCACCTCAGCGGTTGGCGGTTGCCAGTCAACGGTCACAATTCGCCAGTAAGCACTGCATTATTATAGTCGAACTCGTTCGAATTTTTCAAATTACTGTTGCATAACAGATGAATTCGTACATGCAGCCTCTGCACTCGGATGTGCTGGTATGAGTAGCTATTTTTTGGGTGTGTGTGCTTTGCTCTCTGTCATTTCGATTGCAGTATTGTGGTAATGCAACGCTGCGGGTGTGGTTCGCTAATGTTAATGTGTGTGTATGCGCGTTTCGGTGATAAGGTAAACCCCAAGCTGGTCGCAGCTGACTTTGGAGGAGTTTTGGCCACTGTGCTATGTCTACATATGTATGTTTATGTGTCAGTTGTTCTGCAGTTAAACAAATTTAACTTATTTTGGAGCGCATTAATATGATAGTAAGAGTAATACTTACATTGAGGAAACTGAGTGTCGATACGATGATTATATATATACATATGAATCGTTCTCACATTTCTCAAACTGGTGAGATTTTTCGAAAGAATGTTTAGGTGAGAATTTAAGGTTACTTAATGAATATAATTAACAAAAAAATTCGTAAATTTCGTTTGCAGCGAAGCCGTAATAACCCTCACAAATACAAAAGATTCCTTACAAGAACTTTTTGATTGAGCCGTTTATATGGCAGCTATATGCTATAGTAGTTCGATCTGCACAGTTTCTTCGGAGATTGCACCGCTTCTTTAAACAATAACCCATGCCAAATTTAATAATAAATTATTGAAGATATCTCGTTAAATGAAAAAGTTTTCCATACAAAGACTTGATTAAGATCGTTTAGTTTGTATGACAGCTATAGGCTATAGCAATCCAACCTTAACGATTTCTTCAGATATTGCATTATTTCTTTAGATAATAATACATGCCAAATTTCGTGAAGATATCCCGTCAAATAAAAGGCTTTTCCCTACAAAAACCTGATTTTGATTGTCCAGTTTGTATGAAAGCTATATGCTATAGTTGTTTGATTTCAACAATATCTGTAAAATTTGTAGCGTTGCTTTAGGCAGTAATGCGCGCGAAATTTCGTAAAGATAACTCAACAAATGAAAAACTTTTCCATACAAGCACTTGATTCCGATCGTTCGGTTTGTACGGCAGCTATATGCTAGTAGTATAATATCGACCATTTCGACAAATAAGTAGCTCTTTAGAAAGAAACTAAATAGTAATAATGAAAATTAATCGATTTTTTGAAGCTCGCAAGTAGATATAAACCCTTAAACTAGACTAACTGTAATATTACGATCTTCTACATAGTTATATAAGCTACGCTGAGACAAAAAGTCTAGATCAATCTTCAACGCGACGGCTATCGATTTCGAAATATTTGCAAAGAAGCGAATGTGAGTGAAATAACATGATCTGCTCAAGATAAGATATACATATATAACAAATCTGTTTTGGAGCAAGAACTTCAATAACACGTCACAGAACTGCTGGGATTGTATTCGAAAATATTCCGAACTCAAGTCTTTGTACAAATTCACAATAAGCATTTTCTAAAGCAAACTTGAACATTTGAGTACCTGAAATATGACGGCATAACAAAAGTGCTACTGCGGCTTTTCATTGAATTACAAAATAATGAACTTTTTTATCCATTTTTTTTTATATTTCACTGCATTACAACCACGAAAACTGTGAATGAGTTACACATAGGTCAAGCGCACCACAACTGCACTTTAGTAACGAAGTCACGTGCGCATGCGCAATTACCACTGGTGATAGGCAAAATGCTTCTCCCTTGGCAACAAAACACACACACACACACACTCATATGCTCTTGTCTCAATACATTAACAATTTTACTGTTAGCACAACTCTCAAGATAACTGCGAATACACTTCTTCAACAACTCGACATCTGTAACTGTAAGCCACTTTTGCACTTCACCGAACAGATTTGTACTCGCTTGTAATCTGTTTTCCGTGCACACACACACACACATACATATATGAAAGCACTGAAATGAACACAATATGAAATGTAACCATTTAGACAATTCGTGTACGAACACTGACTCAAGTAGCCACACGCATACATACAGAGATACATTTCTGTGCATATGCTCGGCAATATAGTTGATGAGAGTACAGTATCGACTGTGTATATGTATATACATATGTTTGAACGCGTATTTGCCAGCATTATGTCGAAACAAGCTGGATTAGTTGGTTTACAAGTTAGCTGAACAACTCTTGAGCGCCAATAGAGTAGAACAAGGAGCAGCAATCACTTAAGTAAGCAGCCGAAGTATCCCACTTACAACTTGAACTTACCCTACATACTTGTATAATATGTTGGCGGAGGGTGCTCGGCAGCAATTGAAAGCGTTAGTTTCTATAAATATACAGATCTTATGCAATCATTTACACAACTCATTTGCGAGTCTGACATGTGAAAATAAATTGTATCATATATACAGTTAGTCTTAACGATTCTTTGTAATAAGTCACACCGCATTTTGGGTGCGTCAGTAGTTTGTCCTGATATCGACTTTATTAGACTTACAGTGTTCAATTAAGCACAGTTCTTAGGAGTTTCTCAAGCGTTTCGTCAATGTCGACGCAATATAGTTGTATACGTATACACACTAGAGAGCAAGTAACAGTCTAAATAGTGGACTTTACCAGGAAATTTGTTCCGAGGCTGGCAAGCATTATCTTAACGACCGCAAAGTAGATGGCTCCGGAACTCAGGGGCTGCCTATTTTCCAGACTTCCAAATAACATATTTTATATTTATAATATAATATTATATTATTATCAGACAGATTAAAGAGGTTGCTGTATCGCTGGAAACATCTTAAACACTTGGCAGCGCACACTTTCAGATATCCCACCGAACCTGAGCAAATTTATATTGGCCACAAGGCGCTTTGCTGATTTACTTATAAGATCGAATACAGGAGTGCTTTTTTTATGGCTTCAGAAAGAACTGCATATGGAAGTCCAAGTGCGATCTTTGGATCAACCATCAAACCCTAACTAACCTATATGGGCGGTGGGCGAAGCTTGTAATGCGGTTTTACTAATTTTCAAGCCGTGTTAAGGATATGTCACGATAATTTTATGAGCTAAATTTGGTTAAACATCTGCGAGTGATCCTACTGTGACATTAAATATTACATAAACTATTTTTACAAAAATTATTATTATACATTAATATTATCAAATTAGATAACAGTAAAGTACTTTTATAAAGTCTCACTTAAAACAATTAATTCCTTTAGCAACACATTTATTCAAAATAAAGTTAATTTTTTTATTCCTAGCACAAGCGTTTATCAAAAGTTCATATCATTAAGAAATTAATATACAGTAGTCACATGTACTTAAACTCAAGTAAATTCTGCTTACTAAGAACAAAAAAATAATAATACTTACATGCAATATATGGAGAACAAAGTATCTACAAGCATGCGGAAGTACTCAACTTCTCCAACATATTTTAGAAATTTAAGCCGGTTATGCTCAATGCTAACGGTATTTTGTGCGCGTTCGCCTATATAGGAATTCCAATGTCAATCCAATCAAAGGTTCATATAACAAATACCGATGTAGACAATGAAATAACGGCACGTACACAAGACACACACACACACACGTATATATATTAGCATATATATACACACGCATAGCTTAACTGGGTTGCTATGTGCTTGTGTAAACAGAAACTCTCCGATACTTTAGCAACGTGGTAACTGTGCTGCAAAAGAAATCGTGTAAGAATGGTGGCGAGCGAGGAGTAGAGAGAAAGTTTCTTAGCAAAAGTAAACTTTCAGCGCCACTGAAGTATCAACTCTTTCTTTTTTTACCTTTTACTATGGGCTATTTTAACTTATTGAACTAGACTACTATACGGTACACACACACACACACACACATACTATTTGGTTGCTTAACACAAGAATACACACATTCACTTAGTTTTCATATATGAACTGCATACATATATGCAGCTCGTTTGTTGCATCTGCACACATGCCACGTGGCATCGCCGACATGCCGTTTGCATTCCTTTTCATTATACACAATACTTTTTCTCGGTTCTTACATTGCCCGTTATTCTATTGTGCATTGTCTGCTTTTGCAGTTTGCCAAACGGTCACATCAATATTATGGCCTTCGATCGCATGGCGGCCATTGTTGGCGCCTTCACCAAGCACATGCATGCCGTTAAGTCGCCGAACGAAGCACCACCTGGCGAGTATAAGACCTTCTGCCAGCACATGCAACGCTCATCGAAATTGAGTGAAACGGGTAAGTCAGTTAAAGCGCTTATACTTTACTTTTATATAGCAGTATCTGTGTATATCTATATATATATATGTATATTTCAACTGTGGTATTTAAAGATGCAGTGGTTGCACTGAATTTAAAGAGAAATGTTAAGAGTTGAAAGAACTTTAAAGAAATTTGTGACCATTTAATTTTTAAGTTTTTTTTGAAAGGTGTAAGCTCTCTACTGTTAAAGAAAAAAGAGATTGTGATTTAAAACCTTATATTATATATTTAAATATAAAAACAAAAGTATACAGTACAAAATATGTCAACTTCGGCTGCACAGTAGCTGTAATAGCCTTCGCAGGTGCATTTTCTATGGCATCAAAGGATATTCAAAGTTCTTTTTCCTGATTTTGATCAGTCTGTTTGTATGGCAGCTATGTGCTACAGTGGTCCGATCTGAACAATTTCTTCGGAAATTATAGCACTGTCTTGGATTATAATCTGTACCAAATATCGTAAAGATGTCTTATCAAACAAAAAGTTTTTCCATACAAGAACTTGATATTGACTGGCTGGTTTGGATGGCAGCTATATGCTATCGTAAGCCGATCTGTACAATATGTTCGGATATTATATCACTATCTTGAATTATAATCTGTTAAAATATAAAATAAAATATTTTCCATAAAAGCACTTCATTTCGATTGGTTCAGTTTATATGGTAGAGGTTGATGGTTCCGACAAAGAGCAGCTTTTTTTCTTCTTAGATTGACGGACAGGTGGATGATCGAATCTACTTTATAGAATATCCGACTGTTCAGCTGTTTATGCAGACAGCACTTAATATATTAATTATTACTTAGTACTGAAAAATTTTCTCTCTCTCTCTCTCTCTCTCTCTCAGTCTATTACATACAACCATTTATTAAATTTCCACTAATATTGCGGCTTTAAAGCTTATGTAATCAATAAAAGATATCATCGCGCGCCTTAAATGAATTGAACGGTGTTTAAAATGCCTCAATAAGCCGTTTAGTTGGCCATTGACTGAATTGAACTGAACTGAGCGGCGCTGAGTGGCGCTGAGCTGGCCAGAACATTAACTGGAATGAAACAGCTGAGCAATCAAGCGGCAAATAAACCTACTTATCGACACATTGCATCGCAGTACCGCACAGTTACGTTACACGTACATACATAGCACACACACACACATAAAAGCAAGTACCCTTGGCACAAAGCGACAAAAGGAGTGTATTAAAGCGCTAGCCAAAGTACACTGCTTAAAGGGAAGAAGCTAATAGCAAGCACACGCATACATGTACATTTAAGCCAACAACAACTTGACCTCTGCTCAGTTTACTTCAACCGAGAACTATAAAAACAACGATAACCTCAGAGTAATGGTTGCGCAAAAATTTCCTAAGTGGTATGGGAGCTGTTTAGAAAATTTTAATTGCTTCAAGCAACAAAAGCTAACTAAAAGACTTCATATGTTGGCGTATGATTGCACTACGTGCATGGAGTTGAGTAACGAGACGAAAATTACATTACACTAGTCAAAAAATTTATTATTTATTTTTTAATATTTTTTTTAAATTATATTTAATTTTTTGAAAATAAGTATTGTTCTTGGCTAACATCCATCACACAGTTGAAACGAGTATTATCTGACTGTCTGTCTGAGTTTAAATAATATATTATAACATTTGATTTTGGTTAAATCACAATTTTTTTTATTGATATCGCTTTTTTCGAATTTCTAAATTTATTCTTTGTTTTTTGTCTTCTTTTTTTAAATAATATTTATGCAAACTTATGCTTCATTAACTTATTTAGGTATAATTTGCGCATCAGCTCGAAAGCTACTCATAGGAGTATAAAAGCTCGCACGTGACTTTCCTGTTGACCAGTGTTGCCGTAGAAAATTTCAATTTGGTTTTCTTCGCTCTCAGCCTTTCTCTCAGTGTGTAGGAAGGACAGCATGTGTGTATGAAAAGTTTAATTGAATTAACCGAATTTGTAAGCGAAACTTGTAAAACCATTTCAGTTTATTATTCTCTATGTTTAAGCTTTAAAGCTTCAAACGAGAGTAAAACGATTGGTTAAGCAATATTTACACTATTTTCATGCATCTGCACGATCGCAAGACAGTTCTTAAGCGCAACTGTTCTTTGGAAGAAATTCGTTGTCCTGCAGTGTTTGGTCAACAAAGATTTTTATAAACCTCTTACAAATTGAAGGTTTAGAATCAGCAGCGGTATCGACTCATTTATTAATCAATGATTTAAAATTGAAATTCTGCTAAGAGCAGCCCAAACAAACATCGATTTACGCTCCATATCAAATATGATCTGGACATACTTTATATAGATCAAACTTCACACGAAAATGAAAAAGCTAAAAATCTAGAAGAAAAGTTTTATCGATTCAGTTTTCGTTCACAGTTTATATGGGTCCAATTCGATATTGAAGGTATCTCTGCGTCTGTGAGAGTGCCTAACACCATGTCTAACATTTTTTCTAGGTTAGTTTAGGTATAGTTACTAACAAGGATCTCATTCGAATAGCTTTGAGCCTATCACAAATTTGTTGAGCTGGCCAATGTCAGTTTCTGCTAGGTCTCCTGGTTCGCTGAAGGCAAGACTTCCGAGCTGTTTCAACCTGAATAATGCCGACACTGGACAATTGAGAATAAAGTGCCTGGATGTTTCCACCTCACTTTCTTCCACACAACTTTGGCAACATGAGTCCGTCAAGATTTTTAGCCGTACAGCATGAAAGTACTTACTGGACAATGTCCATTGTAAGTACTGCTACATACGATTGCGGCAAGATGAACTGTATTAAGAGCAAGCAGTTCAGTAAATCTCCTACGTTTTAATCTAGGCCAGAAGGATCTCGCCGTCGCATAGCAGCTAGTCGTCGCCTATAGATCCAGAGATAGAACGCAATATGACAAATGACAGCTTGACTAGCTTTGAGCGCACAGTTTGCAAGCTCAACGATATTATCGCTGCTTTGCTGCCGAAGTGAATACTCTTCTGCCTGAAAGAAGCTGCACTTCGGATTAGTAAATCTACTATTACCTTAATAGCAGCCACTTTTGCTTGAAAAAGACTAGAGTAGTTCCATTACCGAACACTAAGCTTCAGCGAGAGCTCTTTACAGAAGTCTACTTCTACAACCTTCCCTCCAAACTTCGAAAAATATTTACTCAGAGTTTGTAACTTGCTAAAATAATAAGAAAGTTTTCAACTTTCATAAGCACGAATTTAAGGAACACAACTAGTGTGCTTTTTCGAGTTACACACAATTTCCGACGATGCAGAAAACAAAGTCCTCCAATGCTGCAGAGATACGCCTTCCTCGTGGCTGGAACCCAAAAAAATATAACAATTTATTTTTTTCCAAAATTTCATATTAGGTATTCCCCCAAATGTACAAAATCAGCAACCTTTAACGATTTTATCTTAAAGTTAAATTAAATTCGAATGAGAGCAACTTTGCGGCACCGAAATCCACCACAATAAGCTTATGAAATAAACTCACAAATCAGCAAAACTCTCAAATTTGGACTGAAACTTTCATATATCAGCCACATACACTTACACATAAACAGTTCGTATGTATGTATGTATGTAAGCTGAACATAAACCAAAAGAAGTTGCTCTGTTTTTATATTCGCAACAATGCTAACGCAAATGTTGATAATAAAGCTATAAACTTTATATAAATATGCAAACACAAACAGCAATAAAAACGGCGCATCAGCAAGTAAACACACACGCACACACGAGCACACAGCTGTCACGCAAATACCAGCAAAAACTGCAGCGATTGCAGGCAAGTGTTAACAGCAATGTAAAAGCATTTTTTTTTCTTGTTTTTTTGGGAAAACAAAAATAAAAAACAAACCCGAAATCAAAAACGAAACAAAAGCAACCACAAAATACAACCAAACTCACCAGCAAGCAGCCAACCACAAAAGCGGTGCTGACAAACAACGCCTGGTTTATGCAACTGTTGCTATTGCTATGCCTGTTTTTGTTATTGTCTCCACATGATTGTGTGTGTATTTGTATAAAACATTTAAATCTGTTATAATTTAACGCAGAAATTAAATGGCATGAGCCGCAAGGACATAAGCAAGCAGCGGCACTAACTTTCACGCACACACACACACCAATACAATAACCGCAGCCACAGCAGGATAACAACACTTGCCGGGCGGCGCAACGCTAATGACCATAACGATAATTGTCTGTCTGCATGAATGTATAAAAATACGTGTGTATCTGTGTGTGTTCGCAAAACACTCTTCATAATATCGCCATGCATATGCGTGAGTGTGTGTGTGTGTGTGCCAGCTAGTGTCCTTACGCTGGTTCTTGTGGGTAGTAAAAATATTTTATTTGCATCTTTTAGATAATCCTCACCATTTAGACTGTGTGGCACAACAAGAAGCGGTTGTGAGCGCGCTGGTGTTTGCTGCTCACCTAAATTTGAACGGCTGGCAACATCATTTTAGTGCCGGAAACAAATTTGCAAAGCAACATAAGGCATTTACTAAAAAAAATTATATATGAAATTTTGTATATAAATTGGTTTGGAAGGCGATTTAAATTTTTGTATTAAGTTGAATTGCATTGTGTTAGCACTTAGGTTTATGGAAGTTATCTTATTAAGAAATCTACTTCGGTGCTAAGAATTTTCGTATATAGGTTTCTCTCTTTTTATGCTCTCGCAACATGCTGCTACAGAGTATAATCGTTTTGTTCATCTAACGGTTGTTTGTATCACTTAAAACTAATCAAGATAGATATGAAAGTATATACATATATGTATATAAATATTCAGAATTATGCGACTAGTCTGTCCGTCCGTCCATCTCTGCAACCGCTAACTTGAATAATTAAGATATGTTAATGAAACTTGGTACAAGTGTGCCTTGGTACCCAAAGAGGGTCGAAATGTGCGGAATCGGTTCATTGCCACGCTCATAAAGTACCGTTAAGCGAACACATATAAAG